GTCACCTGAGGTTGTGTGTGTGTGTGTGATTCTTTCAACCTTTGGTTTTCTCTTGCTTGCTGCGACTAGTGGTGTTCCCAGTGGGGTCTCTCTTCTTCACCTTGCCTCGGTAATAGACTGCTTCCTGCAAATACGGCTTCCCTGGGCAGTTTCTGCTTCAGTTCTGCCTTTCTTGCTTCCTGAGCTCTCCCACCACACTGTGTCCAGGGAAGCTCTTAGCGCTACCTGCACACCTGTTCCCCTTCTTCCCAGAAAGTTACTGCTGGGTTTGTTGCTGGATATTGTACTTCTGTGGGGAGCTTGGCTCTGCAGGCACAGGTGGCCTGTCCAGGCATCTTCCTTCTCCTCTGTCTGACCTTCACTGCAGTTTGGCAACTCTTCCTCATGTTCGGTGGTTCGGAGTCACAGAATGTCTTCTAGTTTCCTCTGGGATGGAGTCTGCATTTTTGTGTATGTGCTCTTTATTGCTTTTGGGTGAATTCCAAAAGGAAGTCTTTAAGCCAAGAGACTATGACAAGACAACTGTAATTTTATAAATCTTTTCTACGCCAGTTAACAATTTTATTACTTTTTTGTTGTAGTTATTATTTCCTTTTAACTAACTTTTCCAGTTGATCTAAAGAAGAAAACAGTTTGAAAAACAGCTCTTTACTTTTCGGTTTGGAATGATCATGTTAGTAATAATGTACCCTAACGAAAAAAGTACTAATCTCTCCCTGGAGTATTTCTTAAGGAATTCAGGAGTCAGAGGTAAAGTCAGAATAGAGCGTGGATTGACATTTATAAACAGGAGGCTTTTAGGTTTGTTAGATCTGTTTATGTGGAGGGCTGTGTTTTATTACTGGCCTTGCCAATTTTGATATCAAGCATCAGTTATGGTTACCCATTCATGACTCGCCAGCGTTCCTGATAGTCCCTTGACATTCTTAGGATGCTCAACTCAAAAGTCTTGGCTGGATTGAGTTAAACAGTACTTTCCATGCACAGCAACAATCTGCCTGTGAGTATAAAAACAAAGTGTGACATGCTTTGTTGAAATGTTAATATCCAGAAGTGGAAATAATTCAGGCGTGAGGTCATTTGAAGACTAAAAGATAAAGGAAGTTAAGGTACCCAATGTCAATTAATCACTAACTCATTTAATTTTTAAATGCCAGGGTGCTAAAAATCACAGTGTTCACCTGGGGATCTTGGGCCAGAGTGGAAAGGGTTCCGTTTCGGTGACGAGGGCCTTGCTCTTGGCTTAGGTAGGACAAACAGAAAATGTGTTTGGACGGAGGGGCCCCAGAGCCTTTGAGGTGGGGCGATAAGAGAGAATAAACCCTTTCTCCCTGCCGTCAGCTCCCTGGATGGGAATCAGCACAGCAGCCCCTCCTCTCCCTGACTCAGAGCAGTAGGAGGCAGCGTGGCTGGGCCGGGTGTCAGGGGTGGCGGGCTGGGCCTGTCCACTCTGATGTCTGATGGAGAGCAGGGACCAGAAGGCAGGGTTGGAGGTGGCGGGGGGGGGGGACTGCTTCCCGAGGCAGGGAGGGATGGAGGGATCAGCACCCAAGGAGGAAAGAGTGCATAGAGGGGGCTGGCAGTGGGGAAGGCAAACTGGACTGACGTCATCCTGTTCTCTGGAAGTGGCATTTATTCTTAACGTTGAGACGATAAACAGAAGACAGGGAAGTAACTTTGCCTGGCTTGTGAAGATTATTTTCAACACAACTGATGTCACAACTAATTAGATCTGTACCACCCACATTGGGTTATTGAATGAATAGAGGTGATGTGTTTTTCAGTTTGGTGTAAGCCACTGTGCGAGGTGCTGTGGGTGAGCAGGGTCTAGCTGTGCCTGTTAAGACCACGAGATGGATTAAGTGAAGGATAATCACACAACCAAGCAGATGGGAATTAGGTTCTTAAAAAAAAAAACTTATTTGGGGCAGAAATGAGAAAGGTGCTTGTCTAGCAGACCTGTGAAATCGTAAATGGCCATTCAAAACAGAAGGAGCAGTTCTTGAAGGGGCTGGTCCTTAACCAGCCCGGCCTTGACACAGGGCTACAACCTCAAACGATTGTACAGGAACGAATAATAATCACTAACAGGCTTGGGTGGGAAGCTGATGGGGAAAGTGAGTGTGGGAGAAAGTGGTAAATGTTTCCTAGTGGTGGTCAGATCCTGTCCCTGTCCAGACAAAGGACATGTCTTTTTAGGCAGGGTGGTTTGTATCAACCACCCAGCCTGTTGAGGTGACTCCGTAGTTTCTGATCCACTCTGGACCTCAGGACCAGCCCTCCGTGTCGTGGTGAGGATGTTCGAGGTTTCACCGAGAGGGAGAGGTTTCCATGTGGAATTTGGTGGGAAACTTCTGGGAATCTGACTCTTGAGAAGGAAGAACTTTGGGCCAAAAGAACCTTCAGAATAAGATTTACAAACTGGATGGTTTTTCCTGAAGAAGAGATGAGGGTGACTTACTTTCAAATGTGTAAGACGCGCCATGAAGAAGTCCATACCTCACACCACAGTGACCCCTTGGTGCCCCTTCCGTGACTTTGTCGCTTAAGACAAAGGGTCGTTCTTTCTCTGCCTCTTCCTCATCTCCTCCACTGACTGTTGTGTGAAATTGCTGGGGCGGCCGTAACAGAGCCCCGCAGCCTGGGGGTTGTCACGGAGCTTGATTTTCTCCCAGCTCTGGAGGCTGGAAGTTTTGATACCAGTGTTGGCAGTATTGGTTTCTCCTGAGGCCTCTGTCCTTGGCTTGCAGATAGCCGCCTCGTCCCTGTGTCCCCGCACAGCCTTCCCCCGTGCATGCATGATGTCTGTGTGTGTCCAGGTTTCCTCTTCATAGAAGGACTCCCGTCAGATTGGGTTATGGCCCATTTTAATGGCTTTATTTTAACTTAATCACCTCTTTTAGGACCCTGTCTCCAAATACAGTCTCATTCTGAGCTACCTGGGGTTAGTGCTTCCACATAAGAATCTTTTTTTCGGCGGGGGGACACAGTTCAGTCTGGAACAACCACAATGACTGAGCACTTTTGGTGTTTTTTTTTTTTGCTTTTTGGGTGCCATGTTCTCCCCACCTCCACCCCTTTCCTTCACTCTCTTCCTGGCTTTCACTTTTATAGCGAGGTGGACTCTGAACCCACAGCCCAAATCCAGCTCCACCTCCCCCACGGCCTGCTGGATGTATCCTTGCATAACCCTTAACAGTGTCCCCAGTCAGGCTCAGACCTACCCCCTCCCACTTCCTCCCTTCTGCCCTGATTTAAAACTTTCTGGTCATTGTTGTACTTTTATCTCCTTCTCAGTAGCTAACCATTTACAGCATCGGGTTAATTTTTCCATAGAAGTGGGTTTTACGGCATCGTTTTATTTCCATTGCCTCTGTTCAAGTTACCCCTTCAAGCATGAATTGTTGCAACAGCTTTGTAACTGGACTCCCCGAGCCCCCGCCATACTGTCTCTTTCCAGCCCATTAGTATATATCATCTTCTGATTCATTCTTCTGAAGTTCCACTTTTGTTTGTGGCATTATTCTTCCTCACTGACTCCCAACTGCCTACAGGGTGAAGACCATGTTTCTCAGCAAGGCATTTGACGTCCTTTGTGGTTTGATTCCAGCCTAGTTTCTGAATGCTGCTTTAGCTCTGCAGCATTAATTCTCACTCTTCTGATACGCCACCTGATTTCTGGTGCCATCCCACTTCCCTGGAATTCCTTCCCCTTGTGTGTTTCTGTTCCTTCCAAGTATTACCTGATGTTTGAGACTAAATTGAGTTCAGTTCCTGCCTTCTCCATATGGAAGCCCTGCTCCGTCTTTTTCTTTTTTTTAAAGAACAATTTTATCTCACGTTGAAACCTCAATTCTCCATGCTCTTGGAGCACGTAATAATGTACGGCTGGTACTATAAACGTACAGGCTGATTGGCCCAGTTGCTACGTAGCCGTTACTGAACTCTGCTCTGTGCCAGGTGTTGTGTCTTCGTAGGTGCTAAGATCCACAGAAGATTCAAGACTGGGTTCCTGCCTTAGCATGACTGTGATGTCAGGCGGGAAGGAAACAGGCAATCGCAAGTGGGAGCGACCGCAGGGTCGAGCACAGAGGAGGCAGTGGGACCCCAGCTCCATCCAGGTGTCAGGGAGTGACCTTTGAACTGAGGTTTAAAGCCATGGCCAAAGTTTCCAGGTGGAGAAAATGTTTAAGGCGTTCAGCCCAAGAGAGCGACACAAATGAAGGAAGACCTGGAGCAAGACAGATGTGGGGTGGGGGTGGGGAGGAGAGTGACACGTGGAGTGTGTCGTGAGAGAAGAGTGAACTATTTCTTGAGGAAAGATTGTGCTTCCTCTTTAGGAAAGCAACTTTGCCAATACTGTGGATACACAGAATGGTTTCCTGTATGAGAAAGGGGGAACAATGTGTGGGAGTGGCAGGAAAGAAATTAATTAGGAGGTAATTGTCATAGAAACAAGCAGAAGAAATCAAGAGAAAAGACCCTGCCTTATGCCACTTGTGTTTGTGTGTTTGGTTTCCTCAACCAGATGACAAACTTGGAGCCACAATATATGTTTTACCTATTTGTCTTGGTGATGCCCACGTTATTTAGTATGTTACTGGGTCCATGAAAGGTAACTAATGGATGCTAATGATACAGATTAGGCACTGTTCATTATCTTCGCAGCAGACTGGAAATGTGGAAAAAGTGGTGCCCAGCTCATTGTAGACCCTGAATATGCTGAACACAACTAAATCTATAGTATGAATAATTAAGAGCTGGCTGTAAAATCAAAAAGAGTGAACTATGCAGAAGAATAAAAGAATAAAATATGCACAAATATTTGTATGCCTCAGTGGCTGAAGGTGACATTGTGAATGAACTGGAGCCTCACTGTGTGATTCCTGTGCAGGGGGTGGGGGGTGAGGGATAGCCGACCCGTGTGTGCTTCTGGGAAATTCCCACGGTGAAGGATGGGAGACGGCAAATGTTACTTAGGTGGTTTCAGTGAGTCTTCTCTTCTGACGTATTTTTCTTTCTCTTTGCTTCCTGCAGATATTAAATAATCTGCTTTCACCATGGGAGAAATAGAGCAGAGGCCAACTCCAGGGTCAAGACTGGGGGCCCCAGAGAATTCGGGGATCAGTACCTTGGAACATGGACAGAAGCCACCCCCCATGCCTTCAGGAAAACTCATGTCCATCAAAATCCAGATGCTGGATGACACCCAGGAGGCTTTTGAAGTTCCAGTAAGTTGGGGGTCTACTTGTGGACTCAAATGTGTGGGCATCCTTTGGCATGGCGAGGTCCATCTCGTTCCTGTGTTTTGGTGACGCGAGGTGGCGGGACGAGGGTCTGTGTATTCAGCACCTCCCTCCCCGCCGCCCCCACCATGCTCCTCTGGTTCTGGTTCTGAGCTGTCCAATTTTTAGGTTGATGTATGAACTGCATATAGTGGTATCAGTGGGCATGTCGCTAGAATTTCACTCTGCTTTCTATGTACAAGTTTGTGTGTGTATAAGCCTATGTGTGGATGACATATATATTTAGATTCGAGGGCATCATGGTCTTGGGGCTGGATCTCAGTTTAATTTGCTTACATCACACCAGTCCTTCTCCACATTGATGCGTCTGTGTATGTGCCCCGTTGCTCTAGGTTACTGGAGAGAAAAATCCTGAGAGAACCATCAGAGAGCCGTACGGATAGTCTCAGGTCAGGAGAGAGATTGACATCCCTGTTTGTGGGTGAGGACTGGGGAAAAACCCTGATCCGAACCTACAGGTGTGGCAGCCCTAGAATTGGAGAGGCCCCATCCCAGGGGCTGGGGAAGGAGAAAAAGGGGTGTCTGGGAGCCAGGCAGAGAAGAAGGAACAGCAGCCTTGGCCTCGTCCATCAGCTGGAGCCGCACACCCCCATGGTTCTGCTGTTTCCCCAGAGCCCCTGCCTCAGGGCTCCCTGCCCTCCTTTATCCTTCTTCCCAGCCTCCTCCTGAAGTCCAGCTCCTGCAGGAGGTTGGGGAACCACCACCACTGACGTGCAGATGGAGGATTTGTCCCCATGGCAGGGAGAGTCCAGGGATGTGTGTTCATCTCTAGAACTGACCGCATTCTGCCTCCTAAGAGGCACTGGCCCTTCGTTGATTCGCGTCCACAGAACTCACAACATAGTTGTGTTTTCCTGTGTTCCGTCTTGGGTACTAAACACCACATCTCAGATGGCTTGTGGGGGAAGAAAATAACTCTTGAATCCCAAACAAACAAATTATAAACAAACGTGGGGAACACAACCTGTTTTTAAAGTGGAGATGATCTGTCGATTGTTCCTATTGGCTCGAGCGATTGAAATTTAATAGTGTTAACGCCTGCAACCCATCATTTAATCATTTATGTGATATGATTCATGAAATCATATTCATTTCAAAGACTATTGTTCCGAGAGTGTAATTACCATTAAGTGTCTCCAGGAAGATAAACCTCAGAACAGCTCTGTTGAAAACTGCCAGTTTATTGCACATTGCAAACAACCTTTGTATCTTTCTAATTTTCTTGTGGAATTCCTGTCTCTCAGGGGCCTGGGAACTTCTTCGTATTCTGAGGAACAAAGCCGCCGCTAATCTGCTGAAATTGTAAAAATAAATTGAGGGGCGCACCGGCCAGCCTGTTGGAATTAGGCCTTCTGGAACATGCGTCCCCTCTCCTCCTCCCCCAGTTTGTTTTTCTCTTGGTTGCCAGACTGGTTTGGTGAGGTATTTCGTTTCAGCGTTCCTCTTTGGTCTGTTAAGGATTTAGCCCAGGTATCTCGCAGCACGTCCTATGTGGTTTGGACCGAGGAGGCATCCAGTGCTGCTGGTGTGTGCACAGACTACAGGAAGCATTGTACTGTATTCACTTGCAGCTCTTGTTTCCTTGAATCAAAGAAGGTCACCCCTCCACTCCTGGCTAATTTTGCCTAGGACCTGTATGAGATCTCCCTGCCTAAGAAATAGGAATAGGAGTGCATTTACATCTTTTAAAATTATTTTCCTTGATAATTTCTGATGTCTGTGCTTTGTGTTTGTAACTCCTCTGCCTGGAAGGAACCTTTCTCAGATTCCCCCTCCCCTGGCCATAAACTCCTATGCACCTTTAGAAGCCCTGTCAGTTTTACCAATTGCTAACTCTTTGAAGCAGTGGCTGGGGCTTTTTTTCTTCCCTCCTTCAGCCCTTGCTCAGATCTGTCTGGGTGGAGCTGGACCCTCGAGGTTCAAATCCCAGCTTCTCCTACTGACTCATTGATCTCCTGGAGCATGGTACTTAATCTCTCTGTATTTCAGTTTTCTCCTTTGCAAAATGAGGCTAATTATAAGCCTTACCTCATTTCGTGAGAATAAATGAGTTGATAACAAATAGTGTTTGAAACAGCTCTTGGCGCATCATGTGATTAGTGGTACCCAGTGTGCCTTCGCCACTTCGTTGCTGGTTTCTCGAGGCTAAGGCCTTGCCTTTTCTCATTCCCAGCACCTAGCGCAGCAGCTGGCTGTAGTTAGGTTCTCATTAAATGTTTGCTGACTGAATATTAGAATAAGATTATCTTACAGGTAGAATTAATGTTACTGTTTTTCACATGCCTCAGCCATGCATATTTAATTTTTCTTTTTTGAGTTTGGTCAGAATGTTCCTTCACAACCCATGGGCCACAGATGTTTTTCATAACTGCCTATAAAAAGGCAGATATCAGCATTTTTATTGACTAAGCTGATTCTAAATTGCTACCTTGTGCTCTTTAAGAACAGAAACCGCCAGGCCGCCACGCAGCTGGAAGGCATCAGGCAGGCCATGGTGACTCAGCCCCTGTGCTCAGGATTGGAGCAGAGGGACACAGGATTGCAAGAGACTCAGCTCCCCACAACAGCTTAAAACTGCTCCAAAACTTCTTGCCGTGGATTCGAGAGCAAATGTCTGACCCTAGAAGTGTCCCTCACGCCCACACAAGCTCCCTCCTTGGATTGGGCGTCCCATGAGGGTGAATTGTCACTGCTCATTCACATTTGTCACACAGATGAGCAGGAAAGTGGCCAGAAGTTGTTACAGCTTCCCTTGGGGAACGCTCTTCCACAAACCATTGTCTTTTCTGGGGGGGATTGAAGTTTCCTGGGCCTTTTCCTAATACTTTTGTTTTAGAATAATTGATGAAGGTCAAGTCGGCTTTTAAATGCAGTTTCCGTAAGCACTTCCTGGCACAGATAACCAAACCAGTCTTCAGCATTTACAGCCTTGGATGCCAAGTATTATGAAAGAGTTTAATCCTTTGAAAGGTTTGGGCAGTGAGCGGCAGACTTTTCTACTTCCTGGCTAGTTCTGCCATCATCTTTGCTCTTGAATTTGGACAGTCTTTTTAGGTATTTCCTCTATAGAGTGGAAAGTTCAAAAGCAATATTTATAGTAAATTCTTCCACAGCGTTTTGTCATCTTTATGTGAAAAATGCTGTGCAAATAAACCTCACCTGTGGTTTATGATATAGAGATTATAAAATGAAATGACTCAGGTAGCTCTGAAAGGGTTAATTGACCCCCACTCCTTCCCCCCATGCCTGCGAGGACCAGCCTCCACCTCAGGTTCCTGAGAAGGTTTTATGTGTCCTGTCCTCATGACCCCACTGGTAAACAGTGTTCCTACTGACGTTTGTAAGATGAAGCAGATGGTTTCTACCCCAAGTGTTTATTCAGTTTATGTGTTTTCATTAGTAAAGCCACTCCAGGAAGAGCTGGGGAGAGCAGAGGAAATAAAATGGAGCCGTCTTTGGCTTCTTTTAGGCAGCCCAGGTGCAAGTGCTCAGGAAGGATGCTCACAGGTGATGTGAAGACGGCTGACCTCTGTCGGGGACTGAGCAGGCGCAGAGCGCGTCATGTCTCATGCGGCTGTCCCGGGAAGTAATCACCGTGCCCTTCTTGTGTTTGTGTCTTGTCATTGCTTTACTCAGAAGCTCTTACAGCTCCCAGCTGCCTGAGCTTAAAGTTCGAGTTTCTTAGTTGAGGGAGGCAGGGAGAGAGCCATGAGGGCCGACTGCAGCTGGCCGGGCTGCCTGAGCTCCTGCCCCCATCACTCCCACCGCTGTCCTGGGTGGTTCATCCTCTGCATGAGCAGCTCATGCCAGAAAATTCTCTTACTTGTTTACATGCTTATTTCTGGCCTCCTGCAGGTAGAAGGGGAGCTCTGTGGGGGCACGGCCTCTTTTGTTCTTGTTGATCATCGAATTCTACACCCGGTAGACGACATAAGCTGTGACCAACTGCCCACACTTCTGTTCAATCATTTGCTTCTCACAAATGATGAAGGTGATTAGTGCTGTCATCTCTTTAAGGTGAGGGAACCCCTGGGGAGAGCTTCCAGTCCCTTCAGCATATTTGCCCAGCGTGAAGATAAGACTTGAACTGGAGCTCAGCCCTCATGGCCCCAACATCGTCCGCCTTCCCCTGCCCTGCCACCTCTTAGAAGATCCGTGGTCGTCCACTGTCTTGCCCCATTGGATCTTCTCAAACTTGCCTTCCAAGGCTCCCAGACGGAAGGTACCACACCCTCACCTCCAGGCTGCTGTGGTTCTTTTCCCATTCCTAAATACCACCCAGCCTCCACTTCTAACAAATTTATCAAGATCTCACCAGCCATCCAGTCCTCCCCCCATGACTCTCCCTGGGGGCCATCTCTCTCTTCTTAACAGTACTTGTTGTTGGTACCTCTAATTAGACTTTGAATCATAGGCTCTCATCTTGCCTATCTCCCTAATTAATCCCCTTAGAACCCTGCTGAGACTCAGTTTGCTTATCTGCAAAATGAGATGTTTGGTCCAGATGATATTATAAGCTTTTTCCTCCTCCCTTTCTTTTTTTTTGGAAATTGGGACCCTCTGTTGACATCTTGTTGATGCATTAACTTTTTGTGGCTATATTTGTTAATTCCCTAGGTAGGTGGTAAACTCTTTCAGAAAAGGGATTTTTAATCTTAAAAAAAAATCCAAAAGCCTCTAAAGCCTGATCAGACATCCTAGTTACTGTGTAACCAGTAAGTGCTAAAAACAAATGTGATGAAGTGCTATTCATGGAGCATCAGGAAATGTTAGGATTTAATATGTATACATGTGCGTGTGGGTAACTTATATAAATCTCACTGAACTAATTGGGCCAGACTGAAAATCGAAGGTAGAAGATGGAAAGAAATCAAATATTTTCTAGACAACATATCATTAACAGGAGATAAACACATTTGTGGGAA